AGATTTAAAGGCCCTGGCTGCTCGCAGGCTGCAAAGGATTAGTGCTGGGGAGAGCAGCAGGAGGGAGAGTCCTGCTCCTTGCAACAGGAAAGTGGCAAGCAGAGCACAGAACGGGCACTTGCATCATCCTGAAATTGGGGAAAATTACTGCCACAGCAGGCTGGAAGGACAGATAGCGTTGGAAAAGGGGCCAAACAAGGCACAAAGTTCTGCTTGAGGTGGAAAAAGTGTCTTGGGGTATCACGTTGCCTGCAGCCCCGGCCGTACCCATTTCTCTATGTGCTGTTCTTGCCAGGGACTGGGGTAGGTGCGGAGGTTCCTGACTCCCAGGTTCATGCATCAGTTTGCTGTGTGACTTTGGGCAGTGTTCTCATCTTTTTTTTTCTCTGCCTTTCGTCTTTGCCATCTGCAGCTCAGGAAGAACACCTCTCTCCAGGGCAATTAATGAGCTGTAAAAGGCTTTGATGTCTCCAGCTGGCTGCGGTGGCTGCAGGAGTGAACGATGAGGTGGCCACGGCTGCCCCACCAGCCTGCCCTGCCGCGGGGCCAGGACCAGAGCAGGAGGACACTCTGGACAGCGTGGCACAGGCCACCTAGGTGCAACTTTCTGCAGGTCCTGGACCTTAATCAGCACTTAGACACTATGTAAACACCCCAGGCAGATAAGCAAATGAATCTGACACCAGCCAGACTGCTGTCAAAGGCAAACAAGTGCAGGGAACAAGTGCCACTGGGGAGCGTGGCCTCAGTGGCTGGCACGGTGCATGTGCCCCCATGATAGAGCCTACCCCCTTGTGCTAAGTGCATGCTATGGGCCAGAGCCCATCCTGCAGCCCAGAGACTCTTGGGACTCTTCAAAGGGAAAAAGATGTATTTTTAACTTCAGGCAGCTGCCTTTTGTTGCATGGCACTTTTTTATTGTTGCTGCTGTGGAAGTGGCAGGGCGTTTTTAAAGCTGTCTGTTTCTCAGCCATCTTGTCAGAGGTGCCTAGAGGTCTCAAATCAGATTCTCCAAAATTTCAATGCTGGAAACTGGTAGCCGCTTTTGAAGATGTTGGCGAGACTGAGCAGCTCACTACAGACATTAGCTGATGGCCATTTGAATACGCTTTCACCTCAGCCAAGTCCTAGCCCCACTGAAGCCAATGGGAATTTTCCTTGAAAAAGGCCATAAAGAAATCATTTTCTTGGCATCGAGAGAGGTGTTTCATGGCCTTCACATCAGTGTTAGGAGAGATTCAGCTATCTGCTTTGATTTCTGCCATGACTGTCCCACCCTGCACAAAGCATTCTACCTTTTGATCCAGAATAGCACCGGAGATGTTTTCCACATGCCATAGGAAAATGGAAGAACTATAAAACATAATTGTTTTGGAGTTTGGCACCACTCCATTCACAGATATATTTAGCATGAATTGAAATTGGTCAGCAAAAGGGTGTTTGCCAGGATGACAAATGGATTAGAGTTGCATATCTAAGGTAATCGCATACCTGCCCATCCCACGCCGGTGGGGTTAGTGAGTGGCATAATTGGTTTGTGGATAGTCATAAGCAAGCAAGCGCAGCTCGCTTGTCTTGGGCAGCGTTAAAGAGGTTTTTGGCCATAAAAGGCATTATCTGGCTCTCCGTGTATCTCCCCACTTGGAGGCTCGCTCTCTCTGCTCTTGCCACTGCTGCCTGGCCCCTGCTTGCTCTTTGAAATGGCTTCTGTCAAGCCTGATGCTCAACCTCCTCCCTTGCATGCAGCTTGGGTGTACAGGAATGATGGCCTGTCTGCTTCAGGATGACCTCCTCTGTCCTGTTCCCCTTCCCTGCTTGATGGAGCATCCCATTTGCTGGCTGGAATGAAAGTGATGAAGAAGAGATCAACTGGCAGCCCCTGGCTCCTCCCCAGACAGTAGGTGCGACTATACCAAGTTTTGGGTGCTTTCTCCTAAGGAGTAAGGGTTTGGAAGAGGAAACCCTCTCCTGGAGCTCTGCAGTCAGCCCCAGGTGGAGCAGTCGGGCTTAGCAGGAAGGCAAGGGCTCAAATTGCCATGGCTAGCCCTGCGCCAGGGCGGAGAGCTCACAGTCGACAGCAGCAAGCTCTTTCTGGCCTCTCTTCCAGGTTCTCTCTTGTGATGGTGCCCAAGGAGCCAAGACCAATCCCTGGGTGTGTTCATACACATGGGCTTGCACGCTCAGCTCCCATCAGTGGTTTTCTTTGGGCTGATCTTTGTTAGCATTGGAAAGCAAGAAAAATGAGCAAAAATATTATCAGAAGCAGGTTTTGTGAATGAATCAGCCGACAAGAGGCTTACCAGCTTGCCTTGATTTACTAGAGCAATGCTTATTTGGGCAAGTGTCTCCATATTTTAGTTGGAGGCAGGAGGGAACAAGAATTGATCAGGAAATGCCCTGCTTTCAGTATGCTGCTTTTCCATCACTTTGTATCATTGATTTTCTGAATGAAGCAGGAGACATCTGTGAGAAACTGGCCCAAGTAACGTTGTTGTAGAGCATTTGAAGTGCTGCCCTGGTGTCGTAGGAGCCGGCCATGCAGTGCTCGTTTTCTCCCAATGTTGAGGGGGGGGGCCACCAGAAGAAGGATAAGACATCAAGAGACTAAAACCCGCTGAAGTGGCCTGCCAGGAGCTGGAGTTGGGCAGACCCTCACCATCTTTTTCACAGAATTTTTTTTTTGATTCTGTGTGAAGGGCAGTCTCAGGCCTTCTCACACCTCACTATGTGTTTCTAACTAACAAAGAGACTGATGAATAAACAGAAGGTTCCTGCTCAAAATATTCCTTGACCTACCTTAGGGTGATGGCTAGACAGCAGTTGCCATGCAGTGGCCCAGACTTTGAGCTTGCCCATCTGGCTAGCAAGCCTGACTATCCGAATTCTTCTCTGGAATCAGTATTTGAGGAAAGTCCTAGACTTTGCCACATTGGTTTTGCCCTGTATTTGCTTTTCAGTTGCTACCTAGGCAGCTAAGAATCCACCAACCAAACTCATTTAGCGTTGCTGGGAAGTGGGAAGATTCCAATATTGAGAGATCTTGGGACAAAAACCATGAGGAAATGAAAAAGAAGACTGGTTGAATCTATGGAGTATGAGTCCATTGGTGGCCTTGAAATGCTGGTCAGATGGAGTCTCCATCCACGAAAGTGCTTTTGCAGATGATCCGTGGGAGGGATGGGAATGATCCCCCAACACATTCTCCGAAGCACCTGCTCCTGGTTGCAGTTGTGGACAGGCTGGGGTGGTGCTTTGGTCCAGCCTGCTTGGACCAATCTGTCATCTGTTTGCAGGCAGCCATGCATTTACTGAGTGATTTTAGACAAGGTTCTCTTTGTGTTTTCCTCGTGAGCGAGTCGTGGGTTGTAACACCTGAAAAGAGCTTGGAAAGCTGTGGCAGAAATAAAATGCTTGCTATACAGGTTTTCGTTCGATGTCATGACAGTGCAATTATGTCCTGACAGAATATCACAGTGCAGCTTCTAACAGAAAGGAAATGTTAAAACATTGCAACTCTTAAGTATTCTGCATGCCTAGTCTTCCAAGAAGAAATAAAGCCATGTTATGTGAGCTAAAGCCTTGCTTGCACCCCATCATACACAATCTGATATTGTTTCTTCATACAAGTGGCTAAGGTCTGGAGTGCTACACAGCTGAAATCAAAGTTGACAGCAAATCTTGGTTGTGTTGCTGTTTTTGGGTAGCTGGAATGACACAGTTTCTTGTTTGTATGTTGAAAAAGAATTCATTTGTCACCACTGTGGCACCAGAGTGACCTGGTTTGTCATTTATGTGATGCCTGTCACACTGCTGAAGAAGTCCTGTAGGCAGAGGTGTGGGCCTGGGTTATGGCAGTGAGGAATGATGTGTGCATGCAATTGCAGAAGCACAGTTTGGGTTGCTAAGGATCTCTGGAGATCTTTCTCCAAGCCCCTGCTCCAAGCAGGGCCAGCCTCCCTGTCAGCTTCAAAGTGAATGTTTGATGTGGTCATCAGCTTTCTCTGCAACCTGGCCAGATTGGTGCAGGAGCTCTGTACTGCCAGGCACTGAGGAGGCTCAGCCTGGTCATCTGCTGGGTCTGGCACAAGCCTCAAGGTTTTGAGGTCTCTGCTTGCTGTCACCACAAAGTCCAAAAGAACTTGTGTTTGCAGCAGTGACTACCATGTCCTAATTTGGCAAGGATTTCTTACAGAAACAGCACCCAGTGAACTGGGAAAATGCACTAGCAGAAGGTGGAGGATGTTGAAAAGGCTCAGTGTTTATCGTTATTGTTTTGCTAGCTGATTTTGAAACAGTTGAATTACCTGGGAGTCTTGTGGCTTGCAGCAGTGGCAGATTGACCCCAGGACACGTAGAACTGTCTTGCAGTCAAAAAAGGCAGCCAAATGCAAAAGCAGGTAGGTTGTGCAGTAGAAGCTAAATGAGTAATGCACCATATGACAAACGATGTGAAAGAAGATATGGCAAGGAGGATCACTGAAATGGCAGGATCTTTGAGGGAAATTAGGGCAGTCATAAAACAGGGGCTGGTATTTCTGAAAGCGGTCCTGAGAATTTATTTTAGCACATTAATACTGAGTAAGTATTCCTGGAGATACTCTGGGGGATGATAGATGGATTCAAGGTATTGGTACTAATCACTGTGGTTTTAAGTTTTGGAGCTGAAATACACTTGGCATCACTAATCCAACTGGACTTCTGATGGGAAAATTGCATTCTTTGGGAAGTAATTTAGAAGGTCAAAGAAAAACCAGAAAGAACTTCTCCAGCAGTGATTTCCCCTGCTCTCTAAACTGTCTTTTACTGTGGTAATAACTCCAGAATGAAAGGATCTATTCTCACCTTCCAGATGAAAGGACTAATGCAATTTAAAATTTTTGCATGCAAAGATTTTATGGCTTGGTAACCAGCCATGCCTGAAAGTGATCCAAGACAGGATAAACACGTGAGAGAGCACTTGGCTGGCTTTGACCCTTTCCTTCTCTCCCTTCTCTCTTGCAGATGGCGGCGATGACCGTTCAGAAGCGATCCTGGCTGAGAACCACGTGGACGGCACCACGGCGATCCTGAGCGGAGCGGGAGGGAGGAAACCCATGAAAACAGGCATGAAGGAGCTGGCAGTTATGAGGGAGAAAGTGAACGAGCAGCAGCGGCAAATGGGCAAAGTCAGCAAGCCTCACCACAACCATGAAGATTCGAAGAAGTCGCGGATGTCAACGGGCCGGGTCAGCGGGCAGAGCGTGTGCGAGAGGGAGATGGGGGTGGAGGGAGTTAATGCAGGCAGCTGGGGCTCGCCTGGGAAATGCTGAATGCGAAAGCCTTTAGTGACATTTGCCTTGGATTGTCTTAGAAAAAAAGAAAAAAAGAAAAGAAAAGAAAACGTTTGTTTTGGCCCAAAACTGGAGCTGAGCGCACCATCTGATGCACTTTAATCTCCTAGTGAGGAGGCATTATTTTCATTGCAGCTCCACTTCAACAAAAGAGCAGGAGGATGGGGGTCCTGCTGGCTCAACACCTACCTCTGCAGCAGGAGTGAGCGTGTTCCCTGCCAAAGGCCTGGCTTTCTCACACTCCTTTTCCCTGTGTGTCAGGGACAACCCAGGGGGACCTATTAAAGATCTCTGCCCACTGCAGCACAGACCCAGTCAGAGACAGAGCTGTCTAGGAAGGTCTGTGATTTGGCATGAGCAGGTAGAGGATCCAGTGTCCTCCTTGTGTCCCTGCCTGCCCCATCTCTGTGCCCTCCAGTCTGTGGCCATGGTTTCCCTCTAGTGGGCACCTCGGTCAAGGCAACTGGGTGGCACACGGATGGAAAGCTCTGTCAAATGCCACAGTGCCCATAATGCGAGTCCTTATCAATGAGAGGACAGTCCGAGGTGGAGGGGGAGAGCAGGGGAACAGAGAGGAGCTTTACAGGAGAGACCTCAGCTCCTCCAAGGGAAACAGGCAAAGCAGATGTTTGCTGGCCCTCAAGAGGCACTTGCTGTGTCACCCTTGATCCCTTTCTGCAGTGCTTGAGTCCAGCCCAAGCTAACTAGCTGGTTAGTGTGTGGGAACACCTGACTCCATGTCATGGCTCAGGCACCACAGTTTGGAGAGCCCCTGTGCTCCTGCTCCTCTGGAAGAAAGTCCAGGGGCAGGCACAGAGGGGCAGGCTCATAGCGGGTAGCGTTAGATTGAACTCAGTCAGGCTGCCTTGGCTGGGAGCAATGATGCCCTCCGTGAAGCACTGTCCCTTATCACAGCCCCGTCATCACCAGGCTGTGCTTTGTACATACTATGCATGAGAGATGTGTTTGTGGGTGTGAAAAAAAATGCGTGTGTAACAGATGGGATCTGTGTGGGTACTGATGTGCAGGTAAGCGCGTGGTATGAAGGTGCTGAACACATGTGTACGTGCATGTGGTGGTGTTAGCAGTGTGCATGGAAGCAGAGTGCAAGTGTGCTCAGTACTGGTGTTTACATCTCTGTGCATACTCTGTGTGTCCATCTGCACGTAGGGACTTGGAGTGCAGGGGCAGAACGGCAGTAGGATTCTCATCTCACCAGCACCAGCCTAATTACTGGTGCCAGCAGCAAGACATGTGGCAAACCTGGGTCCTGAGGAGCAGGCTTAGCCTCCCCAAGAGGGAGTGTGTGGGGTGTCCTGTGGCCATCTCTTCTGGCATTCCCATTGTGTTGACACTGTCTGTGTTCCCATCGCCTTGACGTTTTGTTTTTGTTTTCTGCTTTTTTGTCTCTTTTCAGACTCCTTGTCAGCAGGAGTTGGATCAGGTCCTGGAGCGCATCTCCACTATGCGGCTGCCGGACGAGCGAGGCCCCCTGGAACACCTCTACTCCCTTCACATCCCCAACTGTGACAAGCATGGCTTGTACAATCTCAAACAGGCAGGTGGGGGAGCCCCGGGGCCAGCTGCACCCCTGCCAGCAGCCTGGGCTCAGCACATGTTCCCTCATGCACAGTTCAGGGCTGGGGTAACGTCGCGCACTCAGGGTGAGCCGTGAGGTAAACAGCAAATCTCACAGGTGGCAACGGCTGTGATGGCGAAATGCATCTGGAGCCATGGGCTTGCAAGCAGGGATGTGTGCAGGCAGCCCACCCACACACAAGCAATGATGCCCTGGCCGTGGGCAGTGGCTCCCATGGGATGGTGGCGAGTGCCTGGGTTAGTCCCGGCTGCCTAGGAAGTGGTGAGCCCTGCTGATTTCTCCTCTACAAATGAATGCTGTTGGTGGAGGCGGGCTGCCAAGATTATGGGTAGGCTGAAGGGAGAACTAAACTGTGTGAGAGATGAGGGAAGATGCAAAGAGAAGGTGGGTATCAGCCAGTGCTGTCTCTCAGAAAATTGCTTTGGCCAAATTCTCCCATCCAGGTCAAGGCCTTTTACCAAAGCGCTTTAAACAGCAAGTCACTCTGACTGCAATCGCTGGGGAGTCCCCCCCCACCCTCCGGGTGCAGCTTTTCCCACCTAGGGTCTCACCAGGCTCGGGAGCTGCCTGTCTGCCTGGCCCAGAGCACGGGGTGGTTGCGTTTCTCACCATCATTACCTTGGCAGAAGCTGGTCCTCCACCTACCCTGGTGCTGGTGCAGTGTAACACTCATTTGGGTGATTTCAGCGCAAATTGAATCATTGCATAATGATGGTTTCATAATGAGGAGAGTTAGGAGTATTGCTGCATAATTGTTCACTCATTTCAGTCAACTCTTGTCCTGGCTTTAAATGTCTGCTGCTTTGCAGATGAACTCCTTGGCTTCAGGCCCGTCATTCAGGAGCTGGTGGGAGACCGTGGTGAACTCTGCGTTGCCACTGTGCTCCTGTGAACCTCGCTGCCACCCTGGCTGTTGCAGGCCAGATGCAAGCTATTTGGTTAGCCAGGAGGTGTGCAGAGGAGGGCCAGGGGGAGCTGGGGCCATGGGACAGGCCTTGGGAGAGACATGGCATTAGAGAGGGAAGAGGTGAATCTCCTGCTGTGGTTTAAAATTGGAGCATGCTCAGGTTTTCCTGGCATGGGGCTGTAGCTCTAAATTGAGTAGCCCAGGAAAGCGGATTGCTCCTATGCCCTTCCTGCCTCCTGACTTCTCCAGTTCACCCCGGTGCTTGGGCACATCTTTCCTAGGGTATTTTGCCCAATGAAATTTTGCAGCTAGACAAAACTGACTTCTCTCTCCTTGCCATGGAAAGCTCCTCCATCTGTTGCTTTTCTCTCAGTTCTCCTTCCTAAACACAACAACCAAAAATGCTGTAGTAATTTCTCTTCCCAGCCTGTGGAAACCTGGGAGTCAGGGGAAGCACACAACATCCTTTTTTCTGTGGCAGCACATCCAAGGGAACCTGTGCCAGAACCAAACACTACCCTTAGCACGTGAGGAGTAGTCACAGGGTTGCAGGAAGCACCAGGTGCCACAAAAGAGCCTGTTTCCAGGAGGAAGCAAACAGGAAGCCAAGCACCAGCTCGCCCAGTGTTGCCCTGTAGCCATGCGTGGATGGTACCTGGGCACAAGGACCCCCTCTGGTCACGTTATCCTGTGGAGGGGATTCAAGATAACCTTCCGTCCTCCCCTGTCCCATCTGGACACTTATGGCTGCCTCACCCTGCACAGTGCTCAAGTTCCCCTTCCAGGCACGACTGCACACTGGCCATAGCTGCAGAGAGGCAGAGGGGATCAAAAATGATTTCTCCCACCTCCCTGCCCTGTCCCAGCCAAGGGGGCCAAGGCCAAACAGGGCGAGCACAACGCAATGCAGCTCTGCTTATCCCGCTTGCCTCCAGAGAGCTGCAACACGGAGCCGCACGGGCCAGTGGGCCTTTTTAGATCACGTTTATCTGTGTGTTTGCCTGACCACAGATTGGAGTCTGGGCGCAGTTTTGTCTTCCACAGCCCGCCCCCAGCCCATACTGGGGAGGATTTTTCCTTCCCCTCTTTTCCTGCGTTTTATCCCCCTGAACATGCCTGCCTTTTGACCTGGCTCCAGCTGCAGGAAACGGCTTGAATTCAGCTTCAGCGAGCGCACGCAGAGCCCCGTGCGCTGGAGTAACCTCTGCCGAGGGCGCTGCCCCGCTGCGCCCTGCTCAGGGCTGTAGCTCCAGGGACGGAGGTGTGAGCACACGGAGCAAAGTGCCTGCAGCTCTGCGGGGGAGAGGGCAACCACAGCCCCTTAGGTCAAGAAACTCCTCTTGAACCCGGCCAGGCTTTGGGGGGTTGTCTGGGGCCACCGTCTCACTTGTGCCCTGTCTCTCGGTGCAGTGCAAGATGTCGGTGAACGGGCAGCGCGGCGAGTGCTGGTGCGTGGACCCCATCCACGGGAAGGTGATCCAAGGCGCCCCCACCATCCGCGGGGACCCCGAGTGCCACCTCTTCTACACAGCCCACGAGCAGGAGGACCGGGGAGCACACGCCCTGCGGAGCCAGTAGCCGGGCGCGATCCTGCTGGTGGGAGGCAGCTCGCCGCGGCCCCCGCGCCGGATTTTACATGGGTTTCAGCGTGGCTCTTCTGGCTCTGCACGAGACTGGGGTTGGCTCCCGCGTGCTGCCCTCCGGGGAGGGATGGGGAGACGGGAGGGGAAGGGCAGCGGGGGGATTGCCGGGAGAAGGGACTGCTTTCCTATAGTCTTTCACCCACTGTAAACCAGAGTACCGGTCTTTTTTTATTTTATTTTTTTTTCCCTTATCCCTTGCCCTGCCCTCCCCGCCAGGTTGCAGCACATCCCAGGTCCTTCCCCTGCCACCGTGGCTGGTGAGGACGGGGCTGCCTCTACCCTGAGGCCTCCCAAGGGGTAAAACTGCCCCTGATGGGTGGGAGAGAGGAAAGAAAACAAAAGCACACCCTTTCCCCCTCCCTCCCCGCCTTCCCCAAGACCAAAGACTGTAAATACTGTGCGGCCTGCCCCTCGCACCCCGCTGGCCCTGCTGCATTGGCCTGGCTCCCGGGGGCCTGCATCGTGGTGCAGGGTGTGCTGTGGGAGGGAGGGAAGGAGGAAAAAGCCCCCCGGGTTTCCCAGCCAGCGCGATGGCATCCAAGTCCTCAGCAGCAGCAAGGGCAGGGACGGGACGAGCGGGTCCCTTCCTCCCTGGAAGGCCACAAATCTTTGCCCTGCTGGAGCCATGAGGATGGAGCCGCGCGGATGGGCCGGGGGCGATGGTGTGGATAGAGGCTGGGTTTCGAGAGGGCTTGGAGGGCTAGTGCCCAGTATTTCTTAGGATCAGCTTTTGCTGAGGGAGCTGCGGTGAGCTTGCAGGACCGGGTGCAAGATGCTTGTGTAGATTTAGGATAACAAGCAAGGGAGTGTCTCTCTCTTTCATTCTTCCTTTGTTTCTAAATAGGATAAAACCCATCTAAAACCTGCACTCCCAAGCAGTTGCCCATGTCCCTCCATTCTCGCCTGGGACTAGAGTGAGCATCTGCTATTCAGCACACACTTTTTTTTTTTTTTTTGTAAGTACAGTATACATCGTGCTTTGTAAAGGCCTGGACACACACGCACCCCCTCTGCCCACACACACGTTTGTACAGGTTTAATCTGAGCAATTCCAGGCGCACCAAGAGGTTTTGCACTGGACGTGCTGCTCCAAGGACAGATGTGTCTCTGCCATTATTTCACCTCTTGATTTCTTTCTGTACAGAACACACCAATGCTGAGAATAAATAACTTCCCCATCACCTAAGAAAGGAGATTTTATTATTTTCTTCCTTTTTTTTTCTTTTTTAAGATGAATAGCATTTACACAGCAATTGCAAAAGTCCTTGCAGTAAGACCCTCAGATGGATTTTTCCCTAGATGAAACCAAGGGCAAAAATGAAGCATCTTCCACTTTTGTCAAACAAGTAATGACCACAGCCTCCAAGCTTGGCTGCTCCAGGCGCTCAGGGTGAATTCCCGTGCAGAGGGAGCCAGCGGGTTCCTACCTGTGCAATGCTCACGGGGCTGCGCGTGGGGCTGCAACCCCCAGCTGGCAGGGATGCTTTGGGAAACCGCTGCCCGGCTGCACCTGGAGCAGGGCCAAGCCAGGAGGCAGCAGGGAGGGCGCTGGGACCTGCATAGTGCGAGGGAAGAGATGCG